TGCAGCAATTATCCGACAACAAGCTCTGCCGCATATCTGGCGGCAATTTGACAGCAAGATTTGATATAACAGATCCTGCATCAAATTTGCTATCTATTTGTCATCAAAAGTTGATAGCAAGCTCTGCTCGAAATCTGCTCGCGCAGGTTTGGCTATCTGGATATAGATTATAGATTAATTTAGGTTGTTTCTACGAGCATGATACTGAAAACGTGTTTCGTTTTCCTACACTGTTGCTACTGCCTAACAATTTTGGAACGACAATATGGCTGGTTTCAGTATCAATACTGTCAGTACTGTCAGCACTATTTCGGAACGTAGCCTCAAGAGGTAGCACGCGTAATATATATATTTTAGTGGTTCTAACTAGTGTTCGAAAGTATCGATACGACTACCGATACGTATCGGTATGCCTTTAGTATCGATACGAATCGATATGCTTTTTCCTATTATTTGAGTATCGTCCGGAGTATCGATATTTTATATGCGTCCCTCTGCACGGTGGAAATAATGGATATTTATGATAATTAAAGTAAAGTCCTTTACACAGAAATTGTCGTAACTGTAACTATAATACGTAAACTTAAGCTGAAGAACCAATAGTATATTGCTATAGATTTATATATTACAAAAAACTATAAAAGTGACTCCAAGTTTTATCTCAGACCGGTATTCATAGTTGGATCTTATATTGAAGACTAGGTTTGTTCTTTCGACCTGAACTGGCTGCACTAGTTCACGAAGTTTGCACTAATGCGTTCTTTCGATCAGAACAGTGCAAGAAAATGTGTTCTTTCGAACAGTGCAGGCTGAACTAGTGCAGCGAGTTCAGTGAACTGACTGCCCTAGGTCTGGAGGTAGAGCAAGCGGGTGTATATCAGTTGGACACGGGGCAATTGGACACAGTCCAATCACAAGTCGCTGTTCCAAGGGACCCTACAAATGTCTCTAATCACACGGTGCTGTGATTGGCTGTGTCCAAATGCACCGTGTCCAAGTGCACCGCTCCCGAGCAACCAGTGCAGGGCAGCTAACCGAAAAAATTTAAATTTGTATCTATAACCTGTAAAATCGGTATACCTAGTTGACATTACGTAGAAGAAATAATCCGACGACGGAATCTATAAACAGTAAGTAAATACTTAAATATATAATAAATATATAATGTAGATAAATATATAATAAATATATAATGTAGAATGACATAGAAGAAGTATTTAGAATGTTATCCAAACAGCACAAAATATCCGAAAGACATCCTGGGAAGGCTCTTGGACGTTTTTTCGGCGGGATTTGTTGTATGAGTATCCAACACAAAACAGTTTTAAAAAGAAATAGGATTGTTCAACAAAACATAAAATGCTATAAGTGCGAAAACATGACCATAAATTGATCTATGTTATTTAATCCAGCCATGTTGTCTGCCATCTTACACTGCTCTAACTTGCTCTTACCCGTTCTTTTCAGACCCATATGTATCTTTGCACTGGTCTGCACTATCTTGAACTTTCTTCAACTAGTACAGTTCCAGTGCAGCCCTAGGTCAGGTCGAAAGAACAAACCTACTGTCTTAAGTTTATCTTCAGATGATGTAGGGATCATTTCATTGGTTACGAAGTATCTGAAGATGAACTTAAGACATTCTTAAGTATAAGACTCAATTATGAACACCGGCCTTATAGCGTGTTCGAGTGGCTCTGGGTTAATCTCTCCGAGAGTGATTATTAACGTCATAAGACTTCATTAGCCAATCACAAAATTTATGCGAAAATGTTCAACCAAAGAACTTTCGAGTGACGTCAATAATCGCTCTCGGAGCGATTAACCCAGAGCCATTTGAATACTCTATTACGCAGAAATAACTAGATTTCAACCGTTTAAAATCTGGTTATTTTTGCGTAAGATAAAACTTGGTGTCACTTTTATAATCTTTTGGAATACATAAATCTATAGCAATATTCTAATTGGTACTTCAGCCTAAGTTTACATATTATGTCTATGGTTACGGCAATTTGTGTACGAAGGCCCTAATAGCTCTCCGAACGCACCCGTAATATATATATCGTTGATTGCACTAGTTCAGCAGTGCAGATAAAAAGAACAGAGTAATTGAATGAGTGTGTGAGTGATTATTTCTAACCAATAATTCACTTTTGCATGTGCAGCACATTAATCTGTTTCTGTTATTTGTATACGTGAAAATTATATTAGATAAAATTATAACAATTTGTTGCTCTAAATTCTCAAAATTAACAAGTAAATGATGGAATAACATTCCATACAATACATTTTTAATATCATTTGTACTTTGTACTATTTATATCACTCAATTTTTTTTAGAATGGCTACACCTCACAATCTATTTTTTTAAACAACCACGTATAAAATTAGAAATTAAAAGTATGTATCGATATAGTATTGATATAAAATCGATATAGTATCGATTTTTTTTTAAATATCAGTTCAGTATCGATATTAATTTTTATCGATATTTTTGATCACTAGTTCTAACGTAGAGGCAATGAGTCTCGGCCTAACCACCGTCACGACAAGACGTGTTTGAACAAGTTCGGACCTTGTGATTTTTTTGGAACGTGCCTTGGAATTTTCCAAGACTTTACTCTCGAAATATATCATTAGTCAGAAAAATAGCGTTAGGGCTCTCTAACTCTTAGAGAGGCCTGGAGCCAAATATTGAAGTTGAAGTTGAATGTAGAAGCAAGTTAACATTTGGGCTGCGCTCGGGGAAATGCTATTTAGCTTTGGACGTCCTTTATCCTTGTTCGACTTTCAGGAACAAACAAGGACAGAGCACATTCATATGGCTCCTGCACACAGGACGCGCTAATGCTTGCCGCGCGGCGGAAGTCCGCGCGACAGCTAATGAATATGTTGTTTTTCCGTAAAAGCTAGAGGGTTATTATGGAAAGCAGCATATTGATTGGCTGTCGCGCGAACTTCCGTCGCGCGGCAAGCATTACCGCGTCCTGTGTGCTGGAGCCAATATTGCTAAGTGCAATATTGCTTTCCAATTGCTTAACATATCTTGACACACACGTACACAAAACCAGTTTATTGGTCACATATTATCTAAAATATCTTGTGAGATAATATGCAACCAATAAACTGGTTTTGTGTAACACCGTGTACGCAACTGGAAAGCACCCAGCGTCTCTCCGAACGCAGCCTCGAGCTACGTTCGTTTTGGCGCTTACAATGGTCTGAGCATCATTTCATCTTTGTTTCTATCAAATACTAATGATGAATACTAATCAAAGACGAATGATGCTTACAAGCGCTATAAGCGCCAAAATAAACGCAGCCAAAGACTACGTTCCGAAATTCACTGCCAGTACTGAAAATCTATAGTTCATGTTACATGTACTATAGAATTTCAGTATTGGCAGAGAATTTTGGAACGCAGTCGAAGTTGTCTGTTAATACTAATCATTATCATAGAGTTTACGTTGGGCATCCAGTGGGCAACCATCTTTGATCAGATCTCTTACGTAAAAAAATGATAAATCCGCTGTTTTAATAGTGAACGCTAATAGGATTTCACTTTTATTCATCATATGAGAACCTAGAGTCGTTACAAGTGAAGACATAGTCTTCCCTCACTTCGACTTCAAGATATAAGATATACTTATATAGAATCGATCCAGACACCACATCTTTCTTCCATCATAATGTCGGCGTCACAAATAATAGATAGTGAAATGCAGGTAGACTCGGCTGCGCCCCTACAAAAGGAATCCTTGTGCAAGGATATTTCCACAAGGAAACCAATAAAAAGGAAATTACAATCGTTTTTGGCGGTAACAGATCCAAAAAAAGATGACCACATTCCTACATCGATGGAATCCCAGAACAATATCAAAAAGGACATGTCTCCACATCTACAAAATGTAACAAAGAATACTTATCCAATTTCACATAAAGGCCTATATGAAGTAAGAATTGAGGGGTGTATATCAGTTGGATACGGGGCAATTGGACACAGTCCAATCACAAGTCGCTGTTCCAAGGGACCCTACAAATGTCTCTAATCACACGGTGCTGTGATTGGCTGTGTCCAAATGCACCGTGTTCAAGTGCACCGCTCCCGTACTCACTTGTTAGACAAGAACATAATCTCTGAAGAATTCTGTCTTTGCGGAGCGGAAAACAGAAACTTACATCACATTTTATTCTCATGCAATTTATATCAAGACGAAAGTGATAAACTAACCACTCAATTATTTATTATAAAATGTAACTCCTTGGGATGACTTATCCCAAAAGGCGTTTGAGAAAAACAACATAAAGATATTCAGAATATTATCAAAATTTCTAAACAAGATTAAATACATATTCTGAAATTACCGCCAAGTGCCACCTACGACAGAAGGCTGCGTTCCGTTTCACGCATATGCGTGCATTTATCTATAGTTCATGTTACGTATATTGTAGGCAATGCGCGCATAATGCGTGAAACGGAACGCAACCAGAAATCACTATACGGAGCAATGGCGTAGTGGCTCGAAAAATAGGTGCCTCAGCCATATATAGAAGTGAAGTGATCATTATCACACAAACAATAAGATTTAACACAAATATCTTTTGTTACGTGATTGTGTATTAAACGTACGTTTATAATTCATTCATACGTATTGTTATTATTTACTGTGTTAGCAATTGTTCATATGTAATGAGTACTACTTTGAGGTTATAGTCTTTTATGAACCGACCAAAATCAGTGGTTTTGGATTGTGCAATATTCTAATATTATTTTACTTTGCTTAATATTACACGCATTTTAGGCATTTTAGGCAACATGTCAGTATGTATAATTATTTATTGCAGAACATGACAATATGGCTAAAGAACGCGGCGTTATGAAAATTCTCTGGAATAGTTTTATATCTTCTCTGAAACCCCGTTTTTTTCGTCGTAAGTTAATCGGTGAAGATTATTATGGCACAAAATACTACGAAGAGGAAATTCGTACCTCTAGCCGAAAAAAGTCGGCTCGATCGTTCGAGCCGGTGAACAAAGATGATTTCATGCAAGAACTGCCAGCCGAATGGGAATCCTGGTTGCGACATCGTAGAAAGGAACCACCTACACGAGAAGAAGTAGAAGCTAATTATCGATTAGCAATGACGAAGAAGGAGAATTCTGCTGCATTACAAGAGAAATATTCCCAAAGTAAAGAACTTTCCACTCAATCTACTCAGTCAACTACATCAAGCTTTCCAGTTTATGAAGATTACAAAAATTTTGGCAGCAGTTATAAACCAAAAAGTGAATATTAGTAGAAATTAATTACGCAATTAATTGAAATATTTGTATAGTAATATAATTCTAGGCCAAATTATACATTAAACAATTTTATTGTTATATAACGAGTTAATATTTCAATGTAATCTAATAATGTAATAGTTTAATGTTTCGCATCAGTCTCTTGTAAGAATATTCAATTCTTTGAATTGTACAATGTGGATATAAATATCTCTGAATGTGGCTATGTGTAAAACGATATTTATTAATATTATTTCTATACACATGTGTAAATTAAGATATATCACTTTCTCTCATATACAATCGATACCGATTAACCCTTAACTGGAACTGTGAAGATTCAAAGCTGGAGAAAGAGAGAACGATCCCAAATAATGCCACTCAAAAATATATCAATTGAATCACTACAACACTACATGCATTCTACAATAATTGAAGAAACAAAATTATTAGAAATGTTCACACACTTGTATGTTTCTCTTGCACTTACATTTTCATTGAATTTAGTTTCTTCCCATTTTTCTTTAGAGTTTATTAAAGTAAGCTTGCTTCAAACAAATTGCAGATTGCTTTATTGCAGATAAATTTGCAATTCAATCGCAGATTTGTGGTCGCAAAGTGTTACTGTTCTACTTACGCTAATATCGCAATATTATTTACGTTACTTAGATCGCACATGCACACACTCACACTCACACTAACAAAGCCCCTGCAAGGTGTTACTGCAATATCACGTGAAACGTTCCCATCGTTCCAGTTAAGAATTAATACTAAAATCATAACAATATAATAATATTATGGAACTATATTAATAATAGGTAAATAAGTATACGAAATATCCATCTTTTAAGAAAACTGTAACTCTAACGTGTAATTGAAATACAGAACGATCAGTATTGCTACGATCAAGTTTAGTTTTCTAAAAACGAAGTTTGAATGTACAAACACTATTCTAAGATCGATGCAAATTCAATTTAATTTGTCTGTTTCTCCAAATTATCGTTTCGCCATTCAATTGCCTATTACACTTTACGACAATTATTATTAAAACTTAATATTAGAACCGTGAATATTGTATGTGTCTGACTTTTTGCCCATTTTGCTCAATGCTATATTTTGTAAGATTTCGTTATAAATACTAATTGGAATAGCGCGAAAAATTTGTCACATAGTTATGTCAGTTAACATTAAGTGACACAACTTGCCTATAAAGTTGATAGTGAAACATAATATACAGCAAATTAAAGTGATATTTTTCACATCAACCGGAAAAGTCGCTATTGTCAAACAAGGCCTGGTCGTACAGTTCTCCTTTAACCAATCGACCACCGAAATAACGACCGTTTAATGAATCTCTTGCACGTTCCGCTTCTGAAAAGGGATATTAAAACCAATTAATTATATAATTACACAGACATAAACTAGACTAATTAAATGTCAATTAAATGACAAGTTTTGTGAATATATGCATTCAAAGCAAGGTTGCGAATAAATTCTTTTTTAATTATTATGTTTAATTGACGATTAATATAAACCAATTTAATTGAAAAGCGTTTAATTAATGATTAATTTGAGTAAATTAAATTGTAAACCGTGATTGACGATTGATTTCAGCGAATTCAATTTAAGACCGCAAGACAATTGATATGAACAAAAGAAATCAAAGATCATTTAATTAGCAAATTCAATTTAGCAAATTTAATTAAAGACCATTTAAGTGACAAATTTAATGAAAAATCTTTTAATTGATAATATGAGCAAATTTAATCGATTCAATCGAAAATCGTTCGATAACGAATGATATGACTGGTGCCTTCCTTAACTCGGATTCTATATAGCGCTTCTCAATTATTGGTATCTTTCACAATACCACGATGTTCTAGGTATAAATATTATCCACAAAACCATTTGTAACTTTGAAAAATCGAATGCTCGATTGAATCAATTGAGTTTGTTTATATCAATCGTCAATTAAACGGTCTTTTAGTTAAATTTGCTAAGTTTAATTATCAATTAAGTGGCCTTTAGTTAAATTTGCTGTGTTTAACTGTTAATTGAACGGTCTTTGATTTCCTTTGCTTGGTAATTGAACAATTTTTAATTAAATTCATTGAAATCAATTATCAATTGAACATTCTTCAATTGAATATACTTCAATCAATCATCAATTAGTTGAATTGAAACATATTTGTTGAAATAGATTATTAAATTGAAAAAAAATTATTTGATATTTTTACAACTCTGATATAAAATAGTCGCATTCAGGCTTGTCACAGTTTAATTTGTGATTTCATAATATATTAGCAACACTTGTAATTTAAATTATTTAAAAGTATCGCAAGTGATATTTAATATTCAGATATCCTTTACAAAAATAATTTAACTACAGCATTACATTGATATAATGTAACCTGTTGAGTGTGGAACACTTCAGAACTAAAACGTTCGCTGAGGACAAAATACTTTGAGTTGTAGTACTTCAATCAATGAAAAAAAAGGAAAAATAACTTCTTGGAAAATTGAAAGTAACGACAGACTAAAACAAATAAAATTTTACTTATTACTATCGCTAAAGAAAATATGTAAATATATAAATAAATAAATAAATAAATAAATAAATATATATATATATATATATATATATATATATATATATATATATATATATATATATACAGGGTGTCCGAAAAATCGCCCGAAATATTTCGGGACATGATTCGAGACTCCAAAAAAAGGAAAAAAGCTATATAAACATAGGTCCGGAAATAAATCGTTTCCGAGTTATAGCCACTTTTATGTTAAAAAAATCGTAATTTACAGTCCCGTGGCATCCCTTTTTAAATTTTTTTATTTTTTTAATTTTCATTTCTTATTTTTTTAATTTTTAAATTTTATTATTTTTTTAATTAATTTTTATTTTTTAATTTTTTTTTTCAATTTTTTGATATTTGTAAATACATTATTTTTTAAATCAATCATAAACATGAATAGGTATTTAAATCGAAATAATTCGTGAATTCCAAGAAATAAGAACGGATCCAAATGTTTTTCAAAGAAAATGTTTTTCGGAATTCTTTTGATAGGAGAATAAAGGCCTTTCGTGCTGAAGGTGGTCATTTTGAACACCTTATTTAATTCGATTTAAATACCTATTCATGTTTATGATTGATAAAAAAAATTTAAAAAGGTGTGCCATGCGAACTGTAAATTACGATTTTTTTAACATAAAAGTGGCTATAACTCGGAAACGACTTATATAAGTATACTTTACCACTCATTTGGGAAAACTCGACGAATATTTTTACGATAACTTCAGCATTCTCATCATCTTCGGACTGTCTTTCGTTATAAATGATAACTCGTTCGACAACGCCGAACTTAGAACACTCGTCTTGAATTTCCTCCTGCAGACTCTCGTCCACATCCTCCGGCGCCACCATGTTTCTTAAGATGACGACTCGAGACTCGACTTTACGCATGAGCTTCTGCATCACAAGATGACGCGCACTCTGGCCCTTAATTGACATATTCTCCTGCTGTTGCAGTGTCTGCGGTTCAGTCTCCTCCAACAACTTCTTTTGCAATTCCTCTTGTTGTTTTTGATGAGCTGCTTGTTCTTGCGCTCGCCTCATGATGTCAGAGCTCGCGGTAGTAACAGGTATCTAATAACAAGTCATCAAAATTGTATAATTAATATCTTAGTAATACGATATTTCTCAGTACAGGAATCTTGTGTTTGTAAGCATTTTGAGATGATTACTACTTTAATCACTTTATTTATGATTGATAATTTTCAAACTCCAATTGAACTAATCAATAATTCACTGGCAGAGAACTGCCAACAAAAATTCCTAGTTATATAATTTGTTATTCATTAATAATTAAACAATTAATATAATGTATGTTAGCAAAATTATTATTATTTTATTAATTATAGAGCAATCATTATTTAACAGTAATCTTAAATATAAGTTAGAGGAAGCAAAAATATTTTTTTTCTTATTCGTATTAATAATAAAGTATCTTTTAGTATTTATATTTTCCATGTTGATAATATATCGGCTGAGTCAATTGTCCATTAGTTTAATAAAAATTTGCAGACTTGGACGTTTACACGTAAATTATGATATATATATATATTGACAACATAAACTATATATGACAAATGTTACTCATATAGACAATGAGTAATTTATGGATGTTATTTAAAGAACATATAGCTTGCTCAAAAATTAGTTTGAAAAGTTTATATTTCTATTTAACTTTTAGAATCCTGATCTAAATTTATGAATATTATTTCCTAAACAAGTTTGAGTTCACAAAATTTTTTGGTTACATTCTTATCTACAGAGAGTTAAATCTACCAATCTATCACGTGATAAGATAAAAATTCCATACTTTGTTATCTTTTTTAAATATTACACATTTATAATTAACCTTTAGGCTGCCGGCATTTTTCATTAAAAAAGTGATTTTTTCTCAAAAATTTTTCTGATGAGTAACACACATGTGTAACATATGACGCAGAATTTTGAGATTTGTGCAGAGCCACAAAAGTGGCTTTCCCGGCAGGGAACGCACGATCAAATATAAAAAATTTTTATTTTCTTAAAATTATAATTTTTCTATATATGAAAAACGACTATTTATATCATGTAGAAAGTAGGTAAACGATTCGCGTAGACGTAATCTTGAAATTTATGATACAATAACGGATAGTAATTTTGAAATCTACAGCATTCAATGGATAGTTTAATTGAAATTTGGTGAAAGTTATCTCATAGGCCGATTTTTCACCATAGCAATTTAAACTTAGACGTAAGTAAACTCTATTCTATATGCTTGATATATTCAAACAAGGCTTAAATTTAAACGTATATCTAATCTGCTACTGGTCCTAAAACATCCATAGCTGAGATCTCTGGAGAAATAAACATAATTTCTTAAGCATTACAAGTCGGTGCAAGGACGAAAGTACTCACAACTGGTGTGCCGACGATCGTAGGAGCGACGACTGCGGGAGGCGGTATAACGACCGGTTGTCCAGGAATCGGCTGGATGATGGCTGGCGGTCGCGTTAAAGTTTGCGGAATGGCTATGCCAGGAGGAGGTATCACCGGCGCTACCGTTGCTACTGTTGGCGGTGCCATAATCGTCGCAGGTGCGATAGTTGGACGTACTACGCCTGGTAAAGCTGTAACATTGTATGGACGTAAGACTTATACAGTATATTCGCTATACCTGGACATTTAGAGTCACGGTCAGTGATAGAAACTTTGACTCCCGAGTAGCACGCATCAGCACGGGAGTCAAAGTTTCTATCATTGATCACGGTATACTCGGTAGCGCCATGATTGACGACTCTGTGCAGTATAGTTATATGCTATCTATGAGATAATACTAAAAACCTTCGGCCTTGGGCAAATTTTACTACTATACCATGCCGGGGAAAGTAATTGAAAAAGAATGATATTACCGACCACTTACAGTCATCCGATATAAATGCTTGGATATTTAACGTGCAATGAAGTGTTAATTTCTTAATTATCACGATATTTTATCACAATGTATGTAGACCCATAATGAAAAATATTAGATATTTTGCACAACTACATTTTTTTGCAGTTATTATCTACGTTAATTTGACATAAAATTTACCAACAGATTATTAAACAATGAAACTAGTCTGATCGATGCATTTACTTATTGCTTAAATCTTATTGTCTATTGTAAGTCGATAACATTATATTTGTAATAGTGATTCGGCTAAAAAGCTCACATATAACTCAAAATTCAAATCTGAGTATTTCACCTGAGACTGGTTTTAAGTAACAACTAATAATACAGATCTTAGAATTTGATTTGAAATTTTCAACTAAAGTACATAATGTACGTAACATTATATCAATAATTTCAATTTAATTAAAAAATTCACACTTAACTATAAATTCAAGTACCTCACTTGAGACAAGTTTCAAGTAACGACTATTAACACAAGTCCCAGAGTACTATATTACAAAGAAAGCATTTGATTTAGCATATCTCTGTCCTTTAATCTTGTTATCAGTTATCCTACAAAAATGCACGCGCAGTCTATTCTATAAATCAATAGTTATACTAAATCCTTAAGGCCAGTGATTTTTAGTATTACCTCAGTACCATAGTTTGGTATCTCAGTACCAAAAAATATATAAATGTTGAAAATTCATAAACCTTGATTCAGTATCGGTGGTGCAGCAGCTCCTAATTTCGTTAGACCTAATGCTACCGCGTTACTCGCTACCGCGTCCATTGCTTGAATTTTGGCAGTTGCAGCTGCCGCAGCAACCGCGGCTGCAGTAGGCATCATACTTGTGCCACTAGGTGGACCCATAAGAGCATTTGGCGGTGTTATCGCTCTGCCCACTCTTAGGTACTGACCACCGAGATCGAACAAGTTCATGGAGGCAATAGCTTCTAATGCTGCCTGCATAGTCTCGTATTCAATAAAACCGTAGCCCTTGTGCCGATGGGGAGAACTGCCTTGTGCGAGTTTGCAATAAGTGATCGGTCCGAAAGCCTCGAAAACCGACTTAATATCTTCCTCTGTTAGGTCTTGATGTATCGACGCGATATAAATGCGATTGTAATGTTTGCTCTCTTCTGTAATCTCATCTATTACAGATTGTGCTTGAGGCATATTAGACGGTCGCCCAACCACCTAAAAAAAAGAATTGGAAGAAGACGATTCGTGAGATGTCTTTAACGCTAATAATATTGCAATGTTATTTACTAGTAAAGAGAATTCATGACATATACGACTCGTAGATTCTTTTTCATTTTTATCACGACTTCTCCTTATAAGTAAAAACATAACGTAACGGAATAACTGCACAGAAAAAAAATACTTTTGTATTAGATTATAAAAGATTTGTCGTGTTTGTCATATAAAATAAAAAATAAAGTACCCAATTTTGAGAAATAGTTCTTACAAATAGAAAACATTGACTCAATATTTTTCTAGATATCTAATGAGGATTTTCCATTTTCCTTTTAATATCTAAACTTGCTATGAGAATTTAATAGAAAATAATATTCTGCACCAATCCAATATCGACATAATTGGTTAACAACACCATAATTTAAGTAAATCTTTTTATTAGCAATATTATTCAAGAACTAAATACTTCAGACATTAAAATAATAGATGTATTAGTCTTAATATTGTTGTTATTGAATCAAGATCTATTTCAATTATGGCGCAGTTGACCAGTTCTATTCACGCAATAATATTTTTTTTCGTGCAGAAATATACAATGAGGTAAAAGGGAAGTAAAATCTAAAATATGTTCTACACGTAAAGATAAAAAAATAAAGAAAAAAAATAATATACTATGCATTAACAGGATTTTCGAGCAAATCGCACTCTTCAAAACTGCTGCGACGCAGTGGCTCGTGGCCGAAGAGGCTGAGTTTGCTCGAAGATCAAACTCATTAGGTATAATATTGGATAAACTAAATAAAAATTTGCCGACCTCCGGCGGGATGATAGGAGGATTGCTGGGGGACAGGAAATTCGTTATATAGGTACGTCCTGCTACCTTGATGTTGCGTCCACCAATCATGACACCGTTCATTTGCTCCAATGCAAGTTGTGCCGCTTCGGGTATCTCGTATTCGACAAAGGCGAAACCTTTATGCTTCTGCGTGACAGGATCCCAAGACATATTGATAGACTTGATAGGTCCGAACGGCAAGAAGGCTTGCCTGATAGTATCTTCCTTTAATTCGAAACTTATGCTGCCCACGTAAACTCTGTATCGTACAATATTTATTTATTAATCAATAATGATGTATCAACGTAAGTGCGTATACGTGCGTGTTTTTTTAATAACTAATAATAACTTTTTTGTTAAAACTTTTAATTATTAAATAAAAAATAATAATTGTTTTATTTGTATTGGAATTAACATGCGCGTGTGAATGAAAGATTAACCTTTAGAAGGCCGGCATTTGAGGATTACCAGATTCCATGAAGAAAATCGATAAAAAATGTACTTTATATCGTATATTCATCGTATACCGATCACAGAGACCACCACTTAAGTGGTGGTCCCGGCCCTGGGGGGTAAAGACAATGTTAAAATTTTGAAATTTGAAAAAAATAGGTTTCTAGAGGTTTTCGAGATCGCTGAATAAGATGGAACTGTCAGTTTCTGTAAATTATGAGAATTTATAGTTATATCGTTATATAGTTATATAAGAAAAAAATAGCAAATAGGGGGAAGGGGAGAGGGATGGGGAAGGACAGTGGGTGCAAACTTGTATCTGGATGTGTGAATACCTATACACACATAAATAGATAAGTGTAGAACATGAATGCAACTGTTGTCTACCACCACTATAATGGTTTTCCGGCCCTCTAAAGGTTAATATAATGAATTTTCGCAAATATATAAGACTGTTAGAAATGTATAAAGAGAAAGAGTGTTATGATATACTGTAATATAATAAATAATACATTATATTAACACGAAACGGCTCTTTCGCAATGGATACAATATTGTTGAAAAATTTGATATATCATTCGAAAGACAACGATCAATGTTCTAAGGGATATCTAAAAACTAATACGTAACAGTATCACAGACAGAGTTACATGAAACAAGCTTCTGTAATTTGTTGGTTAACTAAAAAAAAATGCTTGATAATCTTGATATAAAATAATAAGTGAAACTTCTCTCACATGAAGTTATTAAGGATAAAATAATGGGATAAAGTGTGCCTTACAAAATATATCAGAGTATTAATATAATTTTCTTATACTACATTATGGCGGATCTCTGGTGCACAGTGATTCAAAGGCTAAAACAAAGAACAAACAAACCTGCACATGAGGGCGAGAGCCTGCTGTCTTTGGACCTGATTCCGTTGACTAGCCATTTGCTGCAACACAAAGCACCATAGGCCTTCTATTGATACCCCTTTCCCTACATATATATACACCACATCTCATTGTTTTCAAAAACTCCTCAAGCTCTTTTACCATTCTGACTTCTTCACTCGACTTCTATTACCTTCTGTAGTATCGATTATCGTTTATTGCTTAAATCTAATAAATTTTACTTAAAAAAGGCGGTTATAAAAACTTTTAGTACCGCAAAATGGAATATTTCCATAGAAATGGAACAAAATTTTTTCTATCGTACTGAAATTATTTAAAATTTAAGCATGTACCACAATAATATTTGCAAAAGTAATTACAATAATTACAACAATAATATTGCAACTGCAGTAGTATTCGCAAAAATATAATGTAAAAATTACAGTAAGTGAAACAAACTTTTATTTTGAATATTGAATATAGA